GAGATATGCTGGAATTTGCTGTGACATCGGGGATGTTACTATTCAACAACTGCGCATTTTCATCCAAATTAGAGATATCGAAACTTGTCAATAACAAAGCATCTTCAGTGTCTTTTGCTTCCTCGGGCACTGCCACTGTGGTAACTGTTTGTTTTACCTGAATTTCATGTCAAACAAACAGTAGTAATGGTAAGGAAAAACAAGAACAGTGTTGAAAAATTTTCGTTTTCCCTGCCGCTTTCGACACAGCCAACAAATTCTTCCCAAATTTGACTTAGGAAAGAAAAAAAAAATATTTTTTCCATCAATTTTTTGCCAATTTATCAAACTGCTACAAAATACTGATATAAAAATCAGTTCGATAAAAGGTTTGGACAAAATCCCAGTCCCCGAAGTGCCCTAACCCCGCTTCAACGCTCTTCCGGAAACCTGCAAATCTCCAAAAAATTTAATTTTAAGATAAGTCAAACTTCCGTGTCCACCAAATCATTTTCGAATGAAGCAGTCTTCTCGGTTTTTAAAACATCGTCGGTTTTTAAAACATCGTTCAAATACGTTTTGCGCCGTTTCCTCTTTCCTGTGATATGACTGGCACGTTTTACCTAAAATAATACATATTTGTAACGGACTAGCTGATTCGCTCATCGGACAAACTGCGGAACTGAAATTTTGCAGGGATATTCCGTATTCACGTGTAATCTCAATTTTTGCCTATAACTGAAATTCGTTGCACGCGAACATGACGAATACTCAATTTTATCGCAAGCTACCCCAACATTTCCAAGACAATTTACGAGAATGTAATTAGAGCTATTGCCCCTCTTTCATCGTAATTCATTTCCGCGTCAGTCACTTAACTACCTGATTTTCACAATTGTTATGACTGAAACTGGATCACCTGATGATCAACCTGCGAATGAAGCTGGCCCTTCTTTGCTTCGCTTTTCGGCTAAGAAATATTTAAATATGTATTCCCTCTGCCGATTATCTGGCCCTCCGGCAAATTTAACACCGAATTAAAGGCCTCTAACCGCAGAAGGAGGTGTGTATGTGGATTAACTATAAGAATATGACCATTAGAATACAATCATCAAACCCCCAGAAGTTTCATGAAAAAAATTAAGTTCATGACGTCACCTGAAACAAAAAATAATTACGAGATGTGCTTTAATTAACCAAAAACAACATCGAAATCATTATTATTTACGCCGTAAATTCGACTATCGCGATACATTTCTTCATCAAACAAGGCATTTTTATGCGTTACGGTATAAATACACGCTTGAAGAAAAAGAAAGTTATCACCCCAAAAATTTGGACTGCTCAAAAGCGCGGTATAAACCACTGGATAAAAGAAAAATCAAAGAAAATTAAGAATCAAAATTAAGAATATTAAGAAAATTAAAAATATTAAGAAAATTGAGAATATTAAGAAAATTAAGAATATTTCCCCCTGCTTGTTTACTCACGTGAAACCGGACGTTTGCTCGTATTAAAAAAATCAGTATCAGGCATGAATTCTTAAAATAACGGATGTCATCTCAAGTTTTCGATTTTGAAAATAAAGCTTCCTCTCGAAAGCTAACCAATTTTCGGATATACGGATGCCGGATATCTTCCTTAAATGAAGGAAGCCTCGTGAACAGTAGCTGTGTCATATCGGAAAGAGTTGCTTCAGCAACTTTTCGCAAAAGTTCACTTAGAGCAGGCTCGAAGCTAATCCGAAAGCAACTTTGCATCATTTCGCAAACACTTTCATTCGACAGCAATCTTCCGACCGGTGTGAGCAGAAGCGTACGCAAAACCTGAAGAATAAATTATGTGAAAATGTCAAAAAAAAAGGAATAGCAATATGGTGTTGGAAAACCGAGTAAAGTTTTTGAGGTGATCCCTCGCTCTGTTATATTTCTATAACGTGTAATGATGACAGAGCCTGATTAACAAGTGCTGATTTGGTAAAATCCAGAAAAATTTACTAATGCGCATTACTATATACTTAGGATTAGTAAATTACAACCTGAATAAAAATAAACATTATCGTGAGAATTTTTCATGTTATTTGTCGGCTTTTGCATCAAAACTCGACCAAAAAAAAAAGAGGTACGAAAACAGAAATCCCAAAGAATGGGCTGAACATCCCGATGATAAATTAGTTTCGGTAGCAGTAATCACAATGATGGTGCGAAGATGCGCTATGATAAAGTGAAACTTGACTAAAATAATCATAAATAATATTTGCCTCGAAAAACGGAATTTCTTACTCAATTTATTGCTGAAAAACGGGAATTTCTTACTCAATTTATTGCTGAAAAACGGGGATTTCTTACTCAATTTATTTCTGAAAAACGGGAATTTCTTACTCAATTTATTGCTGGAAAACTGGAATTTCTTACTCAATTTATTGCCGAAAAACGGGAATTTCTTACTCAATTTACTACTGAAAAACGGGAATTTCTTACTCAATTTATTACCAGAAAAGAAAGGATAGAAAGGGCTACGGAGGCCCAACCAAGAAGTGATCATTCAAAATAGGAATGTCTGCGTTGTGGTAGACAGGGACTGGTAATGAAAACCTCAGTACTATGCGTGCCAGTATAAAATATGAAACTTGCCGGCAAAGCTTAGTAGTGAAGTGATATTATTCTCGAGCTGGCGCTAGGAGGTCCGATTCGTTCAGCAAAAAAAAAACTAGTCCCTCTACAGTTTGTTCATACATTTCACTGGTAAAGAATCGAAAATACCATCAGCTTACTTTTAAGCAACCTCTGCGAAAGAGGGAGAAAGAAGCAATCAACAGCCTTATCAGCGGTTGGTTATTGTTGGCTCATGTTGCCATTTGGACTAGCTTTGAGTACCCCCGCCCTCAACAGAAGGGCGTTAAAACTTATTAAAGCAATCTTACTACAGCGATTTTTGAAAATAGATCAAATGCGCCTTACTTGCAAAATTTTCAACAGAACTACTTCATCGCTGCCGCTGTCCGCGCTGCCAACAAATTTTGCATGCGTCACAGCACTGGCAATATTTTCCACTGCATTTGATGCTTTAATGCTAAAAAAAACACACGCTCAGTACTGAGAAGCGCTTACTTATTGAAGACTGTGCATCACATTCTATCACTATGTGAATAACAATATAACAACAATAACGATAATAATAACAAGAATGATAAT